TGCATCACTGAAGAAGTTGCCAGGTTTTTTTACTGACCACTAAGTGTCTTATTTCCAAAAGACATGTTTCATTGCTTTAATAGATCTGAAGACAAAGCACCAACACAATAAATATTTATTAGGAAGTTTGCAACTTCAAGATGTCCTTTTCACTGGGACCTTGCTGGGGATGGAAACATCAAATGACCGACATCAAAAGACATGGTTATTTTAAATTTTGTATTGAAAAATAAGAGGCCAGTCTGTCAGAAAAGCAACAAAAATCTCCTCTGTCTAAGGAAGTATTTGCATGTGGTGAACCTTTTCTTCTTGAAACTGATTTTCCCTAAAATTTGCAGTTGAAAAATAAAAGAGCAGCAGCGAACACCCAAGATATTTCCCACCCTCACCCTTCAGCAAAATTTATGAAAATGTTCCCATCAAGGCACTAAAGGGGAAGAACCATATGGTTTTAATTGCGGGGGGGGTGGGGGGTGTAATTTTTTTTTTTGTAATTACAGAAGAAAGTAAGTAAGGACTGCCAAACAGCCTACTAAAGCTACATACGCATCAGCAGCACTAGTGTTCCAGGTTCAGTGCTCTCCTCTTGACTCCTGTCACTTGTCATCTCCATTTTGTTGCAAAGAGTTAAAGTGCTACTGTTCTGATCTGCTTCCCTTTTTAAACCTCAGCTGTTAAGAGTGAGAAAGAGCAAGGCAGTAATGAATCCGGTGCTGGAGTCCAGACCCCAAAAGGTACATATGGGCTCAACAGAGTACTGCTCCCTATCTCTGCCACTTGGTGCAATTTTCCTCCCCAAACCTGGCTCAGGCCCACTGCACAGTACCTTCAGGGATCAAGGTGCCTCCAGCCAGCTAAGCAAAGAGATGCTTAAGATGTCCGGGCTCCTTTTTATCATCAGCTGTCCACACTGAAGCAAGCAGCCTAGTCCTTTGGCAGTGGCAGGCCAAGGATGGACATGGGAATCCTGAGGAAGACTCAGATCCTTTGAAAGCGAGGACCAAAAGTAGCAAAAAGCACCAAAGGCACCCAGGCCCAACCAGCTGGCACAGTCTCTTAATCCTCTGGACCTTTCTGCTCATTCTCCTGCCCTTCCCCCCCATCCCATCAATATCATTGACACAAAGTTGTTTATGAGAAAGAGGAGGAGCTGACAGTCCTCTACCCAGCATAAATTTGGGAGCTCCATGGAAATTAACTGCTAGTAAAGGACCAGCTCTGACAATCCTGACAAAGTAAATGTAGTTTCCTTAAGGATTGATGCCTGAGAGTCAAACTGCATCTCCTTAGAAAAGCTGTCTGCTTTTGGTGCCAGGAGTCCTTCAATATTTTCAGAGAAGCAGTTTTGACAAAGCAGCAAGCAAATAATTTTGTCCAAAGCACTGAGAACCACATCGCATATCAAGACTGGAAACCTTCAAACGCTGGCAGCAAATTTCATTTTCTAGAAGTAACCCCTCTCCCTTACTGCCCCACCAGAAGAAGGGAGCAAGAGCAAACCACTGTGAAGATGGAATAGAGAGGAAAGAAAATTCATTTTCTCCAGCATCCATCACCTGTGACAGGTTAAGATATCCATCAGAGACCTAAAACATGTAAAAGTTCCCAGTCTGTATTGTGCACCACTGTAATGACTCAGACACGAGTCTTTCAAAGCTGGGACAAACAGAGCACGTGAAGAGTTTCATCTTCATTAACATGGGAGGGAGAAGAGACTAATATAGCGAAGGTGAAAGAACAAACATAACGCAGTGCCTACCATTGCAGGGAGGCTCGGCAACTCTTGTAACAGCAGGATGAGCACGTACACTGGGCTGCAATAAAAATACCCAGCATAAACTAACTGATAAATATCACCCCATCTGACAGTGACAGAGGCTGACAACTCACTGAGTTGCTTTTTCTTTTGCTGTGTAATTTCATCAGCTTTACAACAGCTTCACTGCTTACCTTACCAGCAGTCTTGTTGCTCATTTCAGGATATGAAAGTGTAAGATAGCAATGTTCATGCTCAGGAAATTAAAGCTACCCAGTATCTTTTTTAATCATCAGGATACTTGCTTTATATTACAGAACTTATAAACTGCCTTTCTGGGTTGTTTTTTTTTTTTTTTTTCCTCTCTCATTCAAAGAGGAAGACAAGCATTCAGGAAACAACCTTACCTATCATTCAGCATTACGCAGCCTGAGATTTTAAGTCATATACTATCTGTATTCATCATCAAAATTTTAACTCTTACGTTGCCACTTGGGAAATGTTGGCAAAACAACTTGGCAAATACTGGCAAAGCAAAAAGCTTGTGAAGAACTAGAAAACTCTCGATCTTATATATATTCAACATTTGCACAAGAACAGGCATGACAGCAGTAATTAAAGATATATTAATTTTATATAACTCAAGAACCCCCCAGAGCTGTTCAGTTTCATCGTAAACAGCTGGCTAAATAGTTGCTTAATTTCTGATACTACAAAACTGCTTGATACAGTTTGAGAGACCTAGAAACACAGTATTAAACAACATGCCCTATTCTCTGTATTTTATTATCATAATCATCCACCTGCACCCCCATCCGCTATCTCATAACTTCCAGCTGAAATTTCATCAGCCCTCGAAAGTCCAGTAATGGCCAAGTTTAATCAATACTTTTGAGTAGACTCCAGAGGATCTAGGCTCACTTCACAGGTCTGTCTATTTTCATACCAAGGTAAGCTAAGTCATTTAGAGCTATAGCTAACAAAGCACTCAAGCATAGTAGTGCTCAATTGCTGTGTGGTGCAAGTATGCACCGAGTCAGACTCCTCAGATACCCAGAAGGTTCAGGACCCTTTGTTACCTATCTAAACAACTCACAGGAAATACTGAAGAAGAAAATGGGACCTTACCACCCCTTGCAGGTAGCTGCCCTCTCCCCCAACTTGAGATTCACAGACCCTAATTCTAATATATAGCATCTGGGTTTGTTGCTGCTGTTCCGCACCCCCACAACTGTCCTTCTGCAGCTGTTTCCATTTTGCAAAGAAAGTTCTCTGTTGGCTGCTGAAAAAATGTGTATACTTGACTCTATTGCCTTTTAATCACATCTTCGCAGAGCTTGAAAGATCCACCTTACAACCCCTGCTCCAATTAATATTTAAGCATAAGTATGTTGTGTGCTTACCAGTGCAGAGGCCAAGGCAGCACATTATTGTGGATAATGTCATGTGGGATATTTGCTGGATCTTTCCATGCTACTAGCAAAAAAACTTGTAAAAATACTATATATTTAAAAAAAAAGATAATTGGTTTATGCTTGGGGGGTGGGCCCTTAATGATCTAACACTGAGTAATTTGTCAGGTGCTTATTTCTTTCTAACACGAGGGAGAACTGGGCTGCCCACTCATTCCAGTTAACTGTTCTTACTGGCCAATAGGTCAGGTCCCACCAATGTTGTCCCAAAAGCAAAACAGGCTGCACAGCTTCCTTTTGCTTTCCAGTACCTCCGGGTTTGCTCTGCTAGGAATAGGTTAATTCAACTCCATTTTGAAAATACAGAAAATTGGATAATTTCAAGTTAAATATATACATAAATAGAAAAAAAAGTCTGTACAGGCGTCCTAGAGCACCAGTTAATCATCTACCCCCTTCATTAGGGCAAATAGAAATTAAAGTACTGATCTCTAGCAGCTATGTTGCAAAATGCAAGTTTTGCCATCAGCTTTTGCTGGGCTAAGAGTCTTCCAAATATCTGCAATTATTCATCCAGAACAAGTATCTAAAGGTGCTTTCCCAAAACAAACCATGTAATAATTGGCTAATAATGACACCAGTTTTAATGAAATGAAAAATGTGTTTGCTGTTCAAAGGTCTATTGTATACTCACTTCTCAAGGGAAACCAGCTGGTTAGGTGCCAAATCATCCCTCCAACTACCCCCTTTTACCTTTATGAGCATGTGAAATGGGGAGAGGAGAATCTGAGCTGTCATCCGATTCAAAGTACTCCAGCTGGTTGCATTTCCATCTTTTTGTTAAAGAGAGAAAAATTGTACCCTATTACTTTGTATCCTTCGCATGAACTAGAGTTTCTTCTGTTACTACTGTTCAACATTCTTTACAGTCCCTCCCTATAAAATGGATTGAACGCCTTTCTTGAGCAAATACCTTTATAGAAAGGAAAGCAGTATATGCACTAGAAGAAAATGTGTCATTACATTTAGCAGATACAACAGAGAATTATTAATCTCATCTCTATGATGTTTTCAAGCTGCAAAACATGCAAGGGAAAAGCACGTAGAATAAAAAAAAAAAGATTTTTGGATAAGCAGGATGATGTGCTGTAAAAATAGCTATTGCTACTGATGCCATCAAGCTATTGCTACTGATGCCATCAAATCTAGGATCAATGTAGCTGTATCAGCAGAACACCAGTACTTTGAGCTTTTATAAACTGGGACAAACACAACCAGCTCAATATACTAATGAGGTTAATAGGATATACATATTATCAGGGTTCCATTGGCAGGCACTTGTGTTACAATTTATAGCAAACAGGCACCAAACAGGAGAATCATAGTAGGTCAGCGAGCACATCATACCCTTGCATGGTGGAGCCAAACACGTCACTCCAGGGAGAGACAGACATCATAATATTGTTTCCATGTTGGGAGAAGACTGTAGTTTTCAGATTAGACTTTCCATGGAGATGCCCAAGATTCATAACTGGACTCCTTTAAGCTTTTACCCACTGAAGGGACAAATAACAAGAAATTCAAAAGGGATCTCTGTGGTGGGTAGAGGATTTCAATTAAAAAAAATTAAAACAACCCCTTTCTGTATACATGCAGTTTTATTTGTTGCTGATGGAATTACTTGCCTGCACAAAAACACAATGTCAACAACTGACACATTAGCCAGGTTTACAAAGAAGAAAGCTAATACAAAATAAACAAACACAATGTAGAACTTGAATGGTATTTGATATTTTGGGCAACTTTTCATGTGAGATTTAGTACACATTAATGCTGACTGGCCTGATTCTTCATTCCTCACCATACAAAACCCTGATAAGACCCTGTCTACCAGGCCAGAGCAGGGAGGGAAATTACTATTAAGCCACAGGACAATGCTAGCACACATACAAGGGGTATCAGCTGTCCACCAATAAATCTTAAGAAGAAGAAAGTTGCTAACTGGAGAAGTGAAGTTCTGGAACTGCCTTCCAAAATAAATAGCTGGTGCAAAAAGGGTACTTGTTAAGACAGAAAGCAAGTGATTTTTAAGAGTGCTCCATCTACCACAGTGACCTTCTTGGATAATAAGAAGGCTCTTATTTCATCTATATCCTAAGATCACAATTCTCCAACAAGTTAAGTTTGCAATAGTATTGTGCATGCGTGCATTATAAATTACTACGGTAAGTACAATGCAATGGAGAAGTGAACCAGAGTACACAGATTACAAATAAGCACAGTTTGTTTAAAGTTCATTGTCATATAGCTTTTGGAAGATCATCACTGAATAGGATGATATGCTGGAGTCTAACATTGACTTTTGGTTCTACCGAGAGTACATTCTTTATAACATCACAGTATTGAGAAAAATATTATTCAATATTACACAATATTTAAGAATACAAGAAACAATATATAAGATGTTAGATAACTTCACAAAATCACTTTATGTTAATACTGAAAAGGGCTTTGCTTATTAAAGTTTGCTTATTAAACAGAAAGACCTCCATCTGTAATGCTCATAGCATGTGTGTTAACAAATCGGTATTAAGACATTTATTCGAATGATGTTCACATCACAATGAATGAATACAAAATACAAATAACTTATAACTGCTTACAAAAAAATACTGAATTGTTGAACAGATGATCTCATGCTCCTGCGTATTTTGCATTTTAGATCTCATAGTTTCTGAATTTCCTCAGCAGCTCTGAGGGAGCATCCCCTGACCAGCGGAAACGTAAGTGCCAGTAATTTGCCTCTGAAAATCCTGAGGAAAAAAAAGGAGAGGCAAGTAAATTATTATAAACATGTATAAAACTAAGTTGTCTGAAATTATACTTGATAATCTTTCCCCAAAAAAGTAAGTGAAAAATTGGTCACTTCCCGTGCTCTTGCTAGCAGGGACAACCTCTGTATCCTTGGCACTGTTTGAACAAGACCTCAAGCAAACACCAAACTTCAACATATATATCGGCTGGGAAGAGTCCAAAGGAGAACAGCAAGAACGATGGCAGTCCAGAAAAGAGGACTTACAAAGAAAAACTGAAGAAATTGCATTTGCTTAATCTAAAGAAGAAGAGATAGAAGGTGACATGATAAAACTCAAGTACATGAAAGGCAGTAGTCTGGAGGGAAGGTACAGGTGGCCCTTTCCACACACAAGGGAGTAAAGGAGTTTTTCAGACCCTGCTCTATGTTTCTATGATCTACGGGCTGTTAACACTAAAGTGTGATCTTCCTATATCAGGAAGCTGAAACCTATTACCAGACTTAGTGTTAAAAACTCTTATTCAGGCCGAAATAGCTACATGGAGTTGTAGTCCATAATTCTTACAGACCAGCAGACAGGAACTGAAACTATCCCAGTTTAAAACTGGAATCCAATATAATATATTTTCCTGGACCAAAACAAAAGCATTATCAACATCCTAACGTCAAGTATGAACACTGAAGTGCATACAGCCCTGTCAAATAAATATATTCTAATATTAACATTTATTAATATAAATATATTCCCACTGGATAAATTAGGTAGGCATCTGATGGGTTTGATATTTTTTCCATTCAAATCTATGGAAATTAAATTAAAACTTAAAAAAAAAAAAGAGAAAGAAAATGCCTGCAAAGAAAGCTCACCATTAGACCTTAGACTAGATATAAGGAAGACATTTTTTACAGTGAGGGTGGTGAAACACTGGCACAGGTTGCCCAGAGAGGTGGTGGATGCCCCATCCCTGGCAACGTTCCAGGTCAGGTTGGACAGGGCTCTGAGCAACCTGATCTAGTTGAAGATGTCCCTGCCCACGGCAGGGGGGTTGGACTAGATGACCTGTAGTGGTCCCTTCCAACCCAAACCATTCTATGATTCTGTGATTACAAGGAACAAGAGGATGTTTTCTTTACTGTGAAATTTTACTGTTTTACAAAGGATACAGTGATGATTTAGTTACCAAAAAACAGCAAATAGTATAATTTTATAAAGCATAATTTTTAAATATAAAATTTTCAGTTATGCCTCACATCCATTTGTTTGTAGAATTTTCTTATCTATTTTCCACATTCCACAAATGTTTGAGATTAAATTAGGTTTTGCTACCCTCACAGTTCAACTTAATTTCCTGTTTGATCAAGCTGGGAAGAAATGACAGGACTTGGTTTAATAATAGTTCTGTGATAACATAAGCCTAAGATTATGAAACTGCCGAAGGATCAAGCAGAACAGAGGGTGTCCATTGTGGTAAGTAAACTTTGATTCAGGTGTAGTAACCTAAACAACAGACAGGAAATACTAACTGGCCCGATGACAGCTTTTGAAACACACGTTTATTCCGGTGCATGCACTATTTTTTAAAAAACCTGTTCAAATACAAAAGAATCCTTCAAGTCTCAATTTTTAGTCCTCATTAACTCATCAGATGCAAACTGTGCATAAGGACTGAATGCTGCATAAAAAGAAAAAATATAATACCTAAACGTTTTATTTAACATTTTTTAAAGTTATTTTTAAAAAAATAACTGAAAGTAGTTGCCTTTTTTAAAAATTTTGATATAGCAGCAAACCATTTTGGTTTTAGAAGAACTTTTTTTTCTTCTTCTTCTCCAGTTTTTGGTTTTACTAGCAAACAAGCAAGCAAACATGGGGTAGGGAGGAAGAAAGGTCTGAAAGCTTCAAAATTAAATAAATAGTAAACAACATAAAATCCAAAACAAAACCCCAACCTAAAACCACATTAAAAAAGCTACCAGCTAAACATATTATTCTGGAGAAGAATTTCTCATGACTAAAAGCCTCCATTTCAGGCCAATCCCTGGACACTGCAATTTTCTGTAACTGCTGGTTTCACTTACTTGGGGAGTCTGGATTCTTTGAAGACTGTGGTTTCACATCAGGAATTGCAACATCTTCTTGCTCCCTGTTCCCATCTGACAATCCGTCTTCACTGTTTTCTGTCTGTTGGGTCCAAATCTCATTAGTTATGTTGCTGCTGTTATTCAAGTCAGGAGCCTCCAGCATTTGGTCCTTCTTGCTTTGGACAGCCCAGTGCATGGACTAAAGAAATGCAAAAATAACAAATAAAGAACTAATTCCTATGCCTTAAAAGATTTTTAATGAACTTTTTTCTTTCTTATATTGTTGTTAATAAATGGTAAACAAAGCATATATTAGAGAGGAGCTTGCAGGTCAATTCGATAGGGGTTACTTATTGCAAATAGCATTTGAGAAGATAGTTTATGTCAGGTGGGGATGAAGAACAAAATGTACAAATGCATCAAATAATTCTAAGGCTCTTTTGTCCAGTTTCTTCTGTCATGACTTCTGACACTTTTTTAAAAGGGCTTGAGTGACTTAGAAAATGTCCATTTTCAAAGCTGTCTTTGACTTCAAGGTGCCTCTGAAAACAAGATAATTTGGAAAGCTTTACTATTACAGTCTGTGGAATGACTTCTGTTTGGAACTAAACTAAGCTTGATGGGATACTTCCAGCAAACATTTAAGATCAGGCATAATGCTTTAGCTGAAGAGGCTCTCAGACTTCTCTCCTAAGCAGAGTTGAGGCAGGCAGAATCGGCAAGGGAAACATTTATTTACCTGCCTTAAAATCTGACCATGTAGACTTTTAACTATCATTCACCCTAATAAAGCAGGGAAAAAAAAAAAAAATCAAACATTATGGAATTAGGATCTACTAGCAACACGCTATCAAATTATCTCAGTAGCAAAATTAGGAGGGAAAACAACCTTCAGAACATCTGTCTCTGTCACAAATCACCCCACTAGCCTAGCAGGGCCCCTCAAAGACCTGCGTGAAGCCCAGGGTTCCAAGGAACCTACCTTCTAGATTTTTCAGTTAGCTCTTTATTTAAATCAGATAGCATGAAAACCCATCTGATAAGCAATATACCAAAAGGAGAACGTAGTGTACAAAGGTCCTAGCTTTGAAAAGAAATAAAAGGTTCCTACAAAAGCAAAGTGTGCTGAAGCATTTGAAAATAGCCCGTAAGTTAAACTTCATATAATACACATAAAAGCAGCAACTTGATAAATTCACTCTAAAACTACTAGCCTAAAACCCTTCTGTGAATGGCCTTCCAATTTTTCCTGAATTTCCTTAACTTCCTTAGTGCAAGAATCACTCTGCACTATTCCCATCCCCAAAACCCACCACTGCAGCAGAAGTGTTGTAACTTATCCCCTCACTCGCTGCAACATTTTCTCCGGACCAGCCCTACCTCCCCCTCCTCCTGAAGGCCCAAACTTTCACAACACCAACCGTTTTCACAGAATTGCTCAGGGCCTCCCACTGCTGGAACGGAATGGTAATTTTGCTTCGTCGCCAGTAATCGTAACGCGCTCGACTCTCTTCATTAGTAAGAATCTCCTTAGCTTGCTGCAGCTTCTGGAAATTCTCCACTAGAACACAAACCAAAAAGATACTAAAGCCAGTATTTGTTTTCAAAGAAATTAATTCAGATGTGAAAGGGGAGCTGCCAACAATGGCTTAGAGCAAACAGGGTAGAGGAGACAGAAGGAGAGCTGTGTGACAAAGGTATATGGTTGTTCTGCTTACAGCTTTGCAAAGTTTTAGCTGGCTTTAGGATCATAGCACCTTTGGTGAATAACTGATATCCTTTTCAAATGAGGACTAAAATGCTCATTTGTCTACCAGCTTCAACATCTCCTAAATTTAAGTTCAGAGAAACTTACAGAGTACGGCAGGCAAAAGGCACACCTTGCCCCCTGTACACAACCTTAAAAAGGGAAATTAAACTAGAGTAATAATGCTTAGAAGGAACACACTTAACATCCACAGCAGCAAGGAAGTCAGAGCAAAGCACAAGACCAAGAAAACATGAGCGGGGAAAAAAAAAAATGACAAGCAAAAATTGACAAGCAAGAAGAGGAATCTAAACATAGTCCAAATTAAGTAACTTGTGCGTTTTATTAGGTATGTTTTCTACATATGCTAAAATGTTACCTTGAATACCAGACTGCAGAATGAGAGCTCTTGTTTTTCCCCTACAGGGTAATTTTTCATTAAATGGTTACTAAGGATGCACCTGCATGTTACTACTTGTAGAAGGGTTATAAAGATTTAGATTTTATCTGTGAGTCACCTATGTTACAGTGATCTATTATTATTATTCTTATTCATTTATTCCAGTTTACAAATTAGAGAGATTTATTTTTAAATACCCTAAGTCCAAACACTAATCAAAATTGTTAACTATAAATCAAACAACAGACAACAGGTTGAGGGGGCTGTTCTATTAGGTTTCCTTTTCCTAGTGTTACTAGTTTTCAACAAATAAAAGCTCTACTTTAATTATTCTTTATTGAGCTTTAAGATGATGAAATAAAAAATATAAAGTAAGCTTTCACCAGTACTGTAAAAAGGTATTCAAAGTAAATACAGCATGTTCAGGTAAATAGAGCATAAAATATTTCTTCTTGACAAACAAAGCTGCTCCAACATTTGGCACTTGGCCTCCCTTTTCAAGTACTTAGTTTCAATTAATTGGGGGGGAGGGAGAACGGAACGACACAGGACAGGGGACTGGGGGGTGGTACAGACAGAACAGGACCATGCACTGGAATAGTCTCGCTTCCCTGCTGCAATAGCCAGAATTTTCTGCAGACAAAGTTGATTCCATTGGTTTCACTGGTACTTGTGCTATCATTTAGAATAAATTAAGTATTAGTGATCAGGTTATTGTTGATAGGTAGTAGATTGTCTCTCAAACACCAAATCTCAGGGGGTTCCTTGTCAGGGAGTCTCAAAGCGAAAAATCCCATCTATTTCACCTTTTAACCGCCTCCCTTGTCAACTCTCTGATTCTAGGCTAGGATGGCACATCAGTAAGGAAAGCCGAGCCCTGCCGAGACCTCTGCTCGAGGCAGTGGTCTCATTCAACATCTGCTGTACTCCCAGCTCTGCTGTCTCAGGGGAGGGTGTGGATGGGGTCAAACTCACACAAGTAGGTAGGCTACGGTGTTCAGTTTATGCTTATGTTGTTCAGTTTATAGTTAAACTAATAGGAAGAATCCAAAGGGAAAGTTTTGTGCATTAATCAAAATGAGAAGCATATTTTATTATTCTAGAACAAATTTTTGGTGGGGACCGTAATTATGATCAGAACAACCTTTATTGTAAGAATATAAACTATTCAGACATCAGTGAGCACTGATTAGAGCTATCTTGTGGTTATGAATGGGAAAGATTGTCTCCAGATAACTCAGGTGCTGCTTAAGCCGTCACAGGTGTGATGAGCTGCACGCTTTCATAAACGCAAATGTCAGCTGCTGTTCTGCAAACAGATGGCTAGTCATGTGGTGCTGGCTTCTCTATTTCCAGTCATTAAATTACATTAAAAGAAAGTAAAGTACATTTAATGTGTTCCTGATGGGCTTGTTCGTGGAAGCAAATTAACTAGTCATTGCAAGTATGGCACTTGAATGCCACTGAGCATGGAAGCAAGCCAACTTCATAGGTCTAGAAAGGGATACACTCCATAAATAATTTCTGAATTAAAAGATGTTCTACCACAGAAAGAAAAAAAAATTGAAAGTCCTAGGAAAAAAAAAAAAAATCCAAAAAGTGTCTTCCCGCTCTATCACCTAGGAGTGTGCAAGTGTTAGAAAAGAATATTAAAGCTTGCTATTTAAAGACAATATGCTCAATACACATGACAATTAAAATATATTGGGGGAAAATATGAAGTTTTAAGGCTGAAATTAATATCTTAGTCATGTTAATATAAGAAAAAAATAGATTGTTTTTAAACAGGGAAGAACACATACCTGCTTTGGGGTTTCCAGGATGTTTGTCAGGATGACATTCAAGTGCTTTAATCTTAAATTCTGCAAGAATTTGTTCAACCTAAACAGAATGTCGAGACTTAAAGTGAGTAAATACATACACACAGAAAGATTTTCAAATTTGCTTTTTGAAAGGGGTTGGGAGGAACAACGAAGAAATCTGAAAGATTTTTTCCTATTCGTTTTTACAAGCTTTACTACAAGCAAAATAGGTAACAACAACCATCTATCAGTGACACTGCTTATTTAATTTCATTTTCCATGCACTCATCCTTATTCTTGTTTTTGTGAGGCTCAGTCATCCAATATGCCAAGTTGGCTTTAAGAAAAATGTGTAAAGATCATATGTGCAAAACCCCTTCCTCACATTTGACCACGTAGGCAAAACGTATCACTTCAGTTGCTCTTCACTTTGTTTAATCAACTCTAACTTTTAACGAAGCCTCATTGCAGGAAGCAAAGACCGTCTGTATTGATTGCTGAAGATCAATTTGTGGGATTGGGTGGCTTTCTCCATATTCTCTTCACACGAAATTCAGCCAGTATCACATGACTTTTCCATTTGGGATACCCCAAAGCTAGATAACTAGCAGTTCACATTCTTCCTGTCAAGTTAATTTTCTGTGCAAAAAGGTTGGCTTGGAATAGAATAAATTCATAATCAATATTAGAATATTGACATGTATTCGTTTATTAGTTAATTACAAGTTCCCACACAGTTTACAGTACCATAAAGTATTACAACCACTGGAAAAACAGAGACATATTAACAGTTAAAAAAATACAGGAAACCACTGGAGGGGGCATCAGCCTAGATTTTCAAATTTTCAGATGTTTCGAAGTATCTTGCTTCTTATTATAATTCAGAAGCCAAAACTTCTTTATATCATTCCAGTACAGCTTAAGCTTTCACAACAATTTGCCCTAAGATATCAATTAGCTACTATTCTTTCCCATGCTAGAAAGGCTGTTTATATAAATTCCTCATCCTGTAAACCCTGATATCATCTACAATTTAAATGGTTTATTTCAAAATTAAGGCTCATAACATTTTTTCTTTAGACTAAAATTGCAGTTCACTCAGCTGGCTGGCCAAATTTTGTTGTCATATGCTGGGAAAAATGTGGTCTACAGTGGTATTTCAAGAATTATACACTTTTTGCTCTTCTCAGTAACTTCTTCCAGAGGGAGAGATAAGGCGGTATATTTCCAGTCAGTAAGACACTTAAAAATATATACATTGTACAGAGAACTTCTTGAAACCGGTTACTATATAGCTAGCTACCATCTCTAAAACTTAGTTATATAAAGGGGAACTTCAAAGTTAAAAAATGTGCAGTAGCAGAGGGGTAGCATGAAAATCTTCAGTTTAAAAAAAAATCAGTAGAAGGAGAAGTTTATAGGAAGTTTATACAAAATATATGAAATTTATATAAAATATTCAGTGAGATGTTTTACCAAGAAAGGTATCCAATACCCACTATATATGAATAACACTGTTCTTGGAAGAAGGAAGTAGATTAAATCTCCCCTTTTCCTCCCAAGTCTGAAGATGAACTAGGTGTCCACGAGCTCAATTCTACAAGAAGCCAAGAACGAACATGGGTGTTTACTTGAATACAAGGAAAATCTGTAGAAATTGAGACTATTTGGGCTTAAATTTAACCAGGTCAGATCAAGACCAGAATATTCAGCAGCTTAGATGAAAGTACTGCAGCTGGGAACGTGCTGTATGTGCCTATGCTGCTAGGGATACTTGACTGCATATACAAAGTACTGTGATTGCAAAACACCTGTAACGCTTCAAATTTCTGTTAAATGTTAGAAGTAGCGTGCACCATCCGGAGGGAAGGCAATCATGGTACTCAGTCAACTTGTGATCTCAGTTCCTACTCCCATGTCAAAAATAATCCAGTAACATCTGCTGCTTCTCTCAACAAATAATACTTGACAGATTTTTTTTCAGGACCCATTAGCATTTATTCCATCTTTTTAATTTCATTTTTAAGCGATTTGAAAAATCATTATCGTATGCACTTGAACTATTCATTAATTGCTAAGCCCTTAAGGAATTAGCGTGAGGTAGAAAATGAGAAATAGCATCTGCAAAACAAGCCTACGTAGGAACTTTAACACCGCCCTCTGCTGGGATGACTTTTTAGGAGTTATCTCAGGAAAAGCTTGAAATTGCCTTCTGTAACAGATGGAAGATGCTTACTAGTATGCTTTCAGTGACAGAAAAGACAGAGGTGTTTTCCCAGTAGTTGACCACTAGGACAGATTAAATTATGATCTGATTAAATTTACTGAGCAAAATACAGCTTTTATCCTCACTGAATACAGCAGAGTAATCAAAACTCGTTTTCCAAAATCGAAACACAATTCCAGTGAATATAACAACTAGATTAAAAAATATTGGCATACCACTAACTCAGGCTATGAAAAAAAAGTTACATGGACAC